TTTCACTTTCAAGGTAACAGTAAAACATATTGAAAGTGTTATAAATAATCTGGTTCAAAAGTTCATTGAAAGTATATGAGTATTGAATGTCCATAGGATTCTTAAACACAATGAAAGAAAGGCTGTTGGAGAAGAACATATCAAATATGTAAATTTGTATAAGTAAACTAATCAATATTTTGTGATCAGGAGTGAGACACAACACTACTATTAAGATAAAAACTAAAAATGAGGTACTAGTAATCAGGCTGCTTTATTGAGACAGAATACATAAATTTTAACCAAGAAATTATCCCTAACTTAGTAAACCTAAAGATGGAGAGCTGATGTCCAAATATAAATAAAAATGCACACATGGAAAAGATAATGTTTAATATCTATAATAACCAATGTATTTCTGAATATTGCTTCTCATGAATGATGTTTCTGTTTTACACAAAGAAGCATGATGAGGGTTGGCAGGTGGATTCCTACATGGCTGACTGCGGTTTGAGTTCCATATCTGGTGGCTTGGTCTCTGTCTCTCTCTGATGAGCACATATGTGCCCTATAGCAAATTAAATAATAATAAATTTAATTAAATAAATATTCCATTAGAAGTAAAAAAGAGAAGCATGATGATCTGTACATAATTAATGTTCTTACCTAAATTCTGTCCTAATGGTCCTTAATTGATATTTTCTTGTGATTCACTACTCCAGATAGTCCCTGTATTCTCAGTGATAATTGACCTATGACTGCCACCATACATTACTATTTGTCTTACTATTTTCTATGCATTCGCAAATCGTGGTTTGTTATTTGCCAATTACATCTATTTATTCATTTATTTCACTGTCATTTTAATAAACATTTGCCAGCAAGACACTGAGGTGAAAAATCACTGAGCTCTGTTATCCTTAAGAATCTTATGGCTATATTATGGGTATGAACAATGCTATGGTATCACAGAGAAACCTATCACTGCCTAAGGAATTTGAGAGAGAGTTTCATATTAAAAGATGAGCAGGGATCTTTCAGTGGGACCCAGAATATCCTATGTTCCCACAGGTCACCAAGAATGTAGACTGCAATTTGATCTAGCATGAAGGTTTGAGATGCCCATAGAATCTCTGGCTAGGCTGATTGGTGAGAGTCCTCTCATGTATGGATCTTTTCGTTAAAACTAGGAAACAAGTTGTTTTGTCTAATATGCAGACATGAATACAAAGAGTCAAAGAGAATGAAGTAACAGAGAAATTTGTCCCAAACAAAGAAACAAGATACGTATCCAGAAACCAACCCTCGTGAAATGAAAATATATGATATATCTGACAGGGTAATAAAAATAAATGTAATGCTGCTCAATGAGGTGAGCAAAATAATTCAACGGAAAGAATTTTCACAAAGAGACAGAAAATATAATAAAGTATGTCAAAACAAAAAGTAAAGCACTAAAGAAGATAATAAATATTAATAAAAATAAAATTCTACTGAAGTAGTTCAATAGCAAACTAGATCAAGCAGAAGAAAGAATCAGTGGGGTCAAAGATAGGTCATTTGGAAATTACCCAGTAAGAGGAACAAAAATAAAAATGAATGGGCCAAGTTATAGTGGTGCAGGCAGTAAAGGCTCTACTATGCAATGACGGTGGTTATATGGGAAGGTTCTGGCTTTGTATTTCAAATTTACTTGAATGTGCTGGGTGAAAGCCAGCCATAATCCTGGCTGGCTACAGGGCTGGAAAAAGTATCATGGTATAAAGATCTTGTTAAGGTTGTCAGCTCTCTTTCTCAAGGAAAATAAATAGTTTCAAAAAAATACTGGATAAAAAAAGAATGATGAAAGCTTAAGGAAAACTAAGAACATTGCTATGGTTTGGATGTAGTTTGTCCCCATTGAAATTTATGTTGAAATTAAATTACCAATGTAACAGTTTTAAGAGATGGTAATTTTAAAAGGTAATTAGGTCATTAAAATGAGTTAATATCTTACAAGAGATTAGGATTAGTTCTTGCAAGACTAGGTTTTGTAAGAGTGGATTAGTTCTCTCAAGATTGAGTTGTTAAAAAATGAGGTCACTCTTCATGTTTTGCTTCTTTGGCATGCATCTAGTAACCATTATTACACATGCTCCTACCATGTGATGCCGTTCATCATATAATGTTGCAACATCAAGCCCTCACCAGATGTGTCTACCAGATACTGAACTTCCCAGCCTTCAAAAGTAAGATTAAATAAATATTTTCTTTGTAAACTAACTAGGCTTAGGTGTCCTGTTACAACAACTGAATATGAACTAAGAAAAAAATTGTTACTAAGGAGTGGATTTTTTGGTACAAACATATCTGAAGCTGTTGAAGAAATTTTGGAACTTATTAATGGGCAGAGGTTAGAATAATTTGGATGAACAGGCTAAAAAAGCCTAGAATGTCTTAAATAGAGCCTTAAAGGTGATTTTGGTGAGGGCTCAGAAGACAGGAAGACTAGGGACAATCTGGAACTTCTCAGAGATTATATAAATTGTCATGACAAGACTGTTGACAGAAATATGGTAAATATAGTAAAGGCCATTTTGATGAGGTCCTAGATGGAAATGAGAAACAAGGTACTGGAAATTGGAGTAAAGATCATTCTTGGGGCCACTAAGTGGCATAGTGGTTAAGGTTCTGGACTCCCACATGACTAAATGTGGTTCAAGTCCTGGACCTGGCAGTTTGAAAATCATGCTGGGCATGTGTGCTGTGTGCCCCAAATCTGAGGAGGATAATGGCAGAGAGGGGACTGCAGCATGGCCTTCCATCCTGGGGGAGGGGGTGATTTATTACTTTCCTTCTCTGTCTCTCTCTCTCTCTCTCTTTGGTGAGTACACATACCTTATGGCAACAAAACAAAACAAAACAAAACAGAAAACAAACAACAACAACAACAAGAAAACATGATCAAGACCTTAGGCAGAACCTAAAAATTTCAGAGAAACTTAAAAGCAAAATATAGAAGGAGCTGTGTGGTTTATTTTGGCTTTATATAGTGAGATTTGTAAACAAATGAGTAATTTAAAGATAGAACTTATAATTAAATGGAA